TTCTGCTTCTTTTTTTGAACTTTATGTGTCTTTGTGGTTTACTTTTTGGGTATGAAGAGCTGGTTCGTCTAAGCTTCTGGTTCTCTCTTTTGATTTTATATTGTCGTGGCCGGATTGATTTTGTCTTCAGAAGTTCCACGGTGGCCCAATTCCAATGTGGATCAGAAGTTTTCAGACTTTCTCCTTAGGTCTGGAATCTTCTAAGAATGATTTTGGCCTCAGGAACTTGGTTGTTGGATTGACTTGAGATCCTGGCTGTGGCCATGCCACACAGGGATGCAAAGGTGGATGGGGTGGGAATAAGCCCCAAGATTTCCCAGGGAGTGGATTTAGTAGCTGGGTTGTACTGGATGCAAAGGATCAGGGAGAGTAAAGGTAAGCCTCGGAGCCCCAGAAAGAGGCTGTCAGCCCCAGAAAGAGGCTGGTGGGTGTTCCAGGACCAGGGAAGTAGAGGGAGGTGAGGGCGGGGCCAGGACCAGAAGCTGTGCTCCTGGGGCCTAAGAAAGGCACTGAGTTGGTCTGGGTGAGAAGGATCAGGAAACAGTATTTGTTCCCCAGGTGTCTGGGGCCCCAAGACTAGGAATGGCGCAGGGCCCAAACGGCGGGAGGGATGGAAGGGTGAATATGCCTTAGGGAGTCCAGGTGCGAGAATTGCACTATAGACTTACCCCAAGAGGCCTGAGGATGGCAGTCATTTCCCCCTTTCTTTACCTGGCAATGACCTAGCGATGCCTTAGTCTCTTCTGGGCATGGTCATCTCTGAGAATTCCTTTACAGTGCCCACCACCACCTTCTCTTGTGTCACTCCTCCATTTCCACTTGCTGTTCCTCAGCAATGCACCAGGAGGTCCTTTTTGTGTCAACCACCTGTACTCCCAGGAATATAGCTGGTGCTCAGTATTACCCAATGGGTGAATAATGAATGTGTTCATTTGTACATGAGTGTTTAAAATGGTTGGTACAAGTCAAAAGAGGCTAGCCTTATTTGTCTAAAGAAAGTAAATATTGGCATCTACCATTTCTTTTTAGTTGATAATAGGAAAGTTTTTGCATTCATAGTAACATTCACATAGTTATATAGCAAGAATATTTTATTCCCATTTAACTAGCAGTCAAATATTATCACTGTAGTTGTTTGAAAAAGTAGCAATGAGCGAGATGACTCAGTGACTAAGCTGTAAAATGCTCTTTTTCTCCTTCTTTTTTTTTGCACTTAAGCAACCAGGTTAGCCATCATCTCTGTAGCTCTTGGGTTCTCTCATTTTAGTTGGTCAGTTTTTTTCTATGTCATAATATGATTTGAATCACAATAAATTCATACTATCATTATTGTACAGCAGAGATCCAGTTTTTGAAATCCTGTGGCTGTATGTGTATATCCCTAACATATACCTTGATAATTTCCACTGAAATAGGAATTAATTTAAAAGTCATTTTACAAGGAATATAAAGACTAGAAATTGGTAGCCAGGACTCTTGGGATTATAAAGTTCATAGATTATACTGTGCCAGGATATCATTCTATGCAGTTTGCATGAATTGAGTCCTTTTATACTGAGTATGGTCTTGTGATTACACTCTGAGTGAAGACTCAAGACACAGAAATTAAGAGGTGAGTGTCTTGTGCATACTGCCATCATTGCTGTAGGTTCATATGAGCAAGGTCCCAGGAGCCTGTAAGACTCTGTTTCCATATGGTCATGGACTTCCTCCCCTGACTCTTAACAATATTTCTTCCTCGTTTTCCAAAATGGTCCTTGAGCCCTGGGTGGGTGGAGTTCAATATGGGCGTCCTGCCCAAAGACCCACACTGCAGACTTATTCTCTACGCTTTGACCATTTATGACCTTCTGTGTTCATTTGCCCTCTGTTGCATGAGGGAACTTCATTGACGAGTGCTAAGAGATGCATTAGTGTTCTCTCTACCCCTTGTCCCATTATGTTCCATGAGCCTTAGGGGGAAGGGGTATAAAAACGATTAACATGTTTTGTATGAAATACACAGAAACTCAATAAAAAATTTTTAATTAAGAAAAGTGTACTGATTTAAAAAAAAGGAAAAAGAAATAGGTGCCTGTAGCACAGCCAGGCACAGCAGCAGAGCTGGGGTTGGAGCCCCGTGGTCTGGCTGGGAGACCTGTGTGCTTAGCTGCTCTGGGAAAGTGCCAGTCAGGCCTATCCACCATTCACTTTGCTTTCTTCTATGCATAGACTATCCGGCATAACCTCAAACATCATGATGATGTTAGTATCTTATTTTTTCTGGAAAAGTTTTCTTTGCAAGAGAAAGTTTTCTTATTTTGTCTTATGAACTTAGGATCAAGGTTAGCTTTCAAAGTTCATTCTTATCAGTGATTTATTTTCCACTATTCAAATTCCACTATTTCCATTTTTAAACCTAATAGATGTTGCTATTGGAGCTCCACAAGAAGATGACCTGCGAGGTGCTATCTACATTTACAATGGCCGAATAGATGGGATCTCATCCACCTTCTCACAGGTAACATACTATTTTCTATTCAAAACAAACATTGATGATTAAAGTTCCCTCATCACTTTCACTGGTTATGTGGATTTGTGGTAAATGGTATTATCTGAAGTGACTTCACTAAACAATTTTCTATCAGTATATATTAGTTAAGATGAGAACATGTTAATAAAGTTCTTGACAAACTCTCATTCCACTTCTATATCTTGAATGCTAAGGCATTTCAGCATATAAAAAGATCTACATCCAGATTCAGGGACGAAAAGATTTTCTAACAATCTATTGGCTGATGTTGTTATTTTTGATGGGCCAAAATGCACAAATGTCTCTCTGTATTTAATATAAAAGCTAGGGGCCTATTAAGTAAAGCAGCCTCGTATTTCTAAATCAGTGTCTGAACATGTAATTAAATACCCAGAACAGATAGATGACTTGGGTGGTGCTTAAATGCTAGGAAGCAGTGTGGTTAAATCAGTAGGCTTTCATTGTAAGTCTAAGTAGTAGGCACTGGTAAATAATTATAAGCATCTTATTTTCCAAGTAACTTGTTCAAAATTATTTATGTTGATTAAGAAAGTAAGTACAGAGCTTGGAGAAAAGCCTCAAGGGTAGGGAATAAGTACTGAGTTGGGGAAAAACTACAGTACACAATTTCATCTTTTTTACAAAGTAATTGTTTTAGTTACAAAACAGATGTCAGTTCTCTATTTCAAGGTGGAAAATTTTGTCTCTGTTAGAAGTATTTGTTTTGCCTAGAATTCATTTTATTAGTAAATATATGAGAGCACACCTTGAAATATTTAATATTTAACTGAACCAATGCTTCTTGGGTATATTAGTTATTCATTAGCCACCCAATTTACCTATTTTTCAGAGAATTGAAGGACTTCAAATCAGTAAATCACTGAGGATGTTTGGGCAGTCTATTTCAGGACAAATTGATGCAGATAACAATGGATATATAGGTGAGCAGAGGTTGTGCAAGATTTCATAAATAAGGTTATTGGGGATGCTGCTTTTCTGTGAACATATAACTGATATGGTTAAATTTGATTTACTCATAATTTCATTCCTGTATTTTTAAAACTTTCTTCATTTGAAGCTAGGTAAGAAACAATCAAGTAATTCCTCAGCTTTCCACTGTTAGTCACTTAATATTACAGTTCTTATTCTTGAAAAAGATGAAAATCATCATGATGCAAAGAAAGAATTTATTGTTTAGATTTTGAAAGGAAATTTCTAGATGAATGTTTCTAGCTTCAAACATTCAGTTTCATCTGGCAGATTTATTGTAAGTTTCTAGCATAAAATTTGCTTGTTTTCTTAAGGAGAGATGGCTGCTGTTTAGAGTGAATAGACTCAGAAAAGTAGGGACTGAATCTTAAGGTGCTAGCTTGTCTTTGCTAATTAATTTTCTGTCAATAGTGTTTTGATATAGTCAAAGGTGATGTGCAGTTAAGTATTTGTGGCTGAAAAGTAATTCTCTTTGACTAATGATGGTCATTAACTAGGCTGTTGTTTTTTCGTCCTCCAGATGTAGCTGTTGGTGCTTTTCGGTCTGATTCTGTGGTGCTGCTAAGGTAAGGTTGGTATGTTCTACTGCTTAATGACAATTGGGAATCATTATAAATGATGTGATACAGTTAAAGACATAGACTCAGTGATATTTTTTTGGTAGCCTGAAGTTTGGTTATTGAACTTGAGGGCATTTTTCTCACCTTGTCTAGATATAATTACACAGATCATCAGAAAAAGTTAATGGTTTTAGATGTTTAAATGAACATTCATTCCTCCTGATCTATACACAGGAATATAATAAAGTATATATGCATATACTATTTACTGAACATTTTAATGAAATTTCCTGGTCAAAGGAAACAGATGAAACAAAGGTAATAATTATCATCTTAGGGAAAATAATTATATAATTAATATTGCTAATTTTATTCCTTCTTAGGACAAGACCTGTAGTGATTGTTGAAGCATCATTAAGCCACCCTGAGTCAGTAAATAGAACAAAATTTGACTGTATTGAAAATGGATTGCCCTCTGTGTGCATGAATCTAACACTTTGTTTCTCATATAAGGGCAAGGAGGTTCCAGGTTATATTGGTAAGTATGCCTTACAGAACCAACAGTCTCTGAGTGTGTGGTCATTAATTGACCTTGAAGTTATCTTGCAAGCCCTCATTGTTATCAGACATTTGACATTTCTTTGCTTTGTATTTTATTTTATATGTATGAATGTATTGCATGCATATATGTAAGTGCAACCCTGTGTTGCAATGCCTGTAGAGGTCAGAAGAGGGCATTGAATCCCTTGGAACTGGAGTTAGGACATTTCTTTAGAGCAGAACAGAACAATCATTTGATTTCCACCTCTTATCTTTCTTTCTGGATTCTCTAGTTGTTCTAACCAATGAGCAGGACACAAAGGTTTAGAGTTTATGGCAAGAGGTAGAGCAAGACTTGCTGTCTTAGCTTAAGGTGATATCCTCTGGGCTTAACCAGTGAAACTGATTCTGAATCAAAAGAGGGTCACCATGACTCCTTTGCTGAACGGAGCTCCTTGTTTATTAAAATTTTATTATCATTTTTTTGTGTGTATGTTTTGTTTTTTGGTTGTGAGCCTGAGGCTTTAACAGCTGTGCCATCTTTCCAGCCCAGTTATTACTGTTTTTAATAATACTGGGAATGGACCTCAAGGTTTCATGGGTGCTATGAAAATACTATCCAGTGAATTATATCCTTAACTCTACTGAGTTCTTTCAAACCTGGAGCTAGTATAAGCTGGAAGGACTGAGGGGCACATGATTGCTATTTAAAATATATTCTGTTATATTTGAATAATTGAATAAGCTTATCTGGAGTCTAGACCCTGATTCTAACATATCTATGTATTAGTGCCACCATTAGCTAAGAGAATATACACCTCTATAAGTATTGCTTTTCTTAATATCCTATTTGTGTTACTAATTATGCCATAGATAAGGTAGTATTAGAATCGCTAGTCATAAAAGTAGCCCATAGTAGATCCCATATGTACCTGGGATCATCATTTGGATATTAGTAAATTGTGAAATTCAATATCCTCACAAGATCTATGTTTATTGTGCAAAGACTTTCCAGACTGTTTTGATCTAAACATCATGGAAGGTGGCACATCCTTACTGAACTAAACTATGAATGTGTAATGAGGTGGACAGAATGTAACTGGTATCTCTACTCATGAGGTTACTTTTTAATAATATTCTGAGGAAATCCTGGCCAGAGCTGAAGTAATAAGAGGATGGGCAAAGTCTTCATCTGGTTATTGATTGGAGAACTGGTACCTTGGAGGTATGACCCAGAGTGAATCACTCATTAGCATAGACAAGCAGATGGATTGTCTGAGAGATACAATTGAATAGATGGGACCGTTTCCCTGTTCTTCCAACTCCATTACGCCAGATATTTTATTTTAATGTCTGAATACAAATGTATGGAACTCATAAATAATCACACTATTCCAACAAAACATGACTCCTTGGTAAAAATAACGCATGCTGCAGATGTGTTTGGTGAAGGTGATGCTTTCTGCCTCTTGCTGGGAATAGGTTTTTATTCACCTCTTATCCTTTTCCTTTTCTTTGGACTCAAGATGATGAATTTGTAGATGACTATTTCAATTGCAGCTCTCTTACTAAGTTATTGAATTATAGTTACTGTAATTCTGAAGTCAATTGATTTAGACTTTATTTTCTGAATTAAAGAATGATCAAAAGATTTATTTGAAACATATTAAGAGTAATATAGCCTTTATGCTTATGTTTCCTTGAAATGAGTAGGTAAAATATTTCTAGAAGAATAACTCACTCCTAAAATGTAAATGAGCATTTCAGGAATTCTGTAAGTCCTTTAAAATTTCACTTATGAATTATTGCTTCTATGCAGTGAGGGCAACTCAGTATATGTTAGGTTTGCAATGAACTCACTTAGATTCAGGAAACAGTGCTTACTTTCTTGGTATGATCTGCTTTGGAATTTTCTTGAATTTTTAACTCTTTTCTTATTTTTGTGCTAGTCTGACAATCTTATTTTCAGGGAAATATTTTCTTTGTCAGATTTGAAAAAAAAAAAAAAAAACCCTGCCAAACAACTAGATTATTTGATAGAATGTGCATTTTTTGTTTTATACTAATTAATACAGGAAAGTCAAAATATAAAGTGATAAATTAGAAGAAGAATAGTTGAGGATTGGACTGGAAATAAAAACAATTTTTAGTAAACTACTTATACGTGTTTGATTGATGAACCATGTATTCATTTTATATACGAAAAATTAAAAACTATCAAACTCTCACATAAGAAACCCACAAAAATAAGTGAATCTTTTTCTATTTGAAATTAGTCATATAATCACACAAGATAGATATAAGTGATCTTTGAGGTAATGATTTTGATACTTTGGTTTTTAAACTTTTACACGTGGAAGGAGTAAGCAAATAACTAAAGATGTTAGCAATGAAAATTTGGAAGGAAGTTCATAAATCTCTTTTTATTTTATAAAATATAATTTGAAGTGCATTTTGGTTTAATAAATACATTTCATATTTCAGTTTAATTGCTTGAAATTATCTAATGAGGAGAACTTGAAGTGTTTCTCATATGATACATAACTGTCGTCATCTCAAAAATAATGAATGCGCTGAGTCACACACGTCAATGTTTGTTCTCACTCTTTTTTTGCAGTTTTGTTTTACAACATGAGTTTGGATGTTCACAGAAAGGCAGAGTCTCCGTCAAGATTTTACTTCTTCTCCAATGGAACTTCTGACGTGATTACAGGAAGCATACAAGTCTCAAGCAAAGGACTGAACTGCAGGACTCACCGGGCATTCATGCGGGTAACTGAAACTACCTTTTATTAACGAACATGTGAACATCCATATTGTCAATGCAGCAAAATTTGCTGCATCGTGTCTTTTTATGGAATGTAGTTAAACAAAGGATATCCCTCCTGAATGTTAGCTTCCTGTCCCTGTAAAATTTATGCAGTGTCACCCTGGAGGATACACTGTCCCTTTCCTACAGTATCTTTGTCTCATACTGATCACATTTGACTGTGCCCTGGTTTCCAAAATTTGCCTTTCCCTTTCTAGAATTGCTGTTTTCCTGCCCTTGTTTACCCACTCCCTAGAAATACCCATATTGAGTAGTTCTGCTGACCCTCAAATCTATTCTGTGATGGGCATAGAAACTGGGGTAGCAGGGACATTAGTTTTTCATGACCCTGTAAGCAGAATTTGGCAGGAATGCATTTGGATTGTGTCTTTGTCTCTATTCCAGCTTTGTTGGGGATGTCAGTGGGAACTTGCACAGTTGTGACATGATGGGTCTCATCTTTGGGCCAGGATGACGACTCTCACGATGGTTTGGGGGATGTCCTGCCAAAACATAGCAAATTTCATGTTTCTTTTATTAAAACACTCATTCCCAAACCAATCATCAACAGGCTCACGTTGGTCAAATGTTAGCATGTAAAGCAGTGCCAGGCCTCTTTCATTAGGGAACTGTGTACTTCATCAGGAAACCTATTGTCACAAAAAACCCAAACTATTCCCAAGAGCCCTTTCTGGGATTTGAAATAGGAGCCTCAGCTTAGAACTTAATTCTCCCTTAGATACTTATTCCAGACAAACAAACATCAAGACTCTGGTACACTTGCTGTGCTAAAAGCGATAATTCCCATGGCTTTCCTCATTTCCCTTCATGGCTTTTATTGTGCTAGAATAAAGCTATTAGGTGGTTCAGAGCCAGAAGTATAGAATGATATTGATGTAGCCGTTATTTATATGGTAGAGATTCAAGAAGTTCTTTTTTTGTTCTTCCTTCACAGATGTATTTTTATACTGTGTTAGCCAATTACAGATACAACAACTGAGACCAATTTAAAGGCAACATAAAGACCAACATTAGATGTTATCCAAGAAACACACTGTGTTTAAGTTGTAAAAATAGCAGCAAATTGAGTTGGTTCATTTAGACCTGTTTCTTGGCATTGTTCCTGTGAATAGGAATCATTCAAACTGCACATCTTTGGAGACATTTGGAGTAGGAATTACAGTGCAGCAGAGGATTCTGTGTTCTGTTGCATGTACACATGTAACATTGCTGTGGCTTTGATGATGGCAGGATGTACCATTGACTTTGGGCCATCTCATGAATGTTCTATTATTTCTCTTATTTGTTTGGGTTGTTTTTTTGCAGGACTACAAGCAACTCTAGTCTGCTAGGCAGACTCTTCCGCACTTGGCTGCATCCCAGTTCTATACTGTGAACATCAAACTATAGATCTACTGATAGGATGGGTACTAGGCAGGGACTTTAAAAACTATTTCCTCCAATGTCTTTTTTTATTTAATCTTTTTGTTTTTATTTAATCTTTATTTTATTGTTTTTATTTTATGTGTATGAATATATTGCCTGCATGTGGGTAGGTGCACATGTGTCATGCAATGTCTCAGAAGTCAGAAGAGAGTGTTGAATCCCCTGGAACTGAGTTACAGATCATTGTTGGCCACCATGTGAGTGCTGGGACTCGAACCCCGGATCTATGCAAGAGCAACTGGTGCTTTTAAATGCTAAGCCATCTCTCTGACCCCATCCAGTGTCTTTTTTTCCTTCTTAAGTTACTTTCTTTTTATTTTAGTGGGGGAAGCTTTTATTTTTCACTTAGATTCATAAATCGAAAGGCTATATGCTATTTCAACCCTTATTTAGACTAAACCCAGGGAGGGTATGGGAACCAGAAAAGCCACAGTCCCGCTTTGAGTTCTGTCAAGGAGCTCTAGCTATTACCTAGGAAAATGCTCAACTGTCATGGGTTGCAGTTTCCCATGCTGCCTGCTTGTTTGCTTATGGCTTCAGGATACTTAGCACTCTGATGTTCTACAGTTGAAAACACAGGATAGCAACCTGCATTCTGCTGTCTTTCTAATGACAGCAGGGAAGAAGATGGACAGGTCAGGTTGCCTGGATGGTTTCTATGTTCCATAAATCATGTCCAGTATCAGGACTATGTTCTTTTGACCTCAGTGACCCTTAAAATGAAATGTGATGATATTATTAAAGTTTTACTCAGGGACTAGAGAGATAGCTCAGTGGTTAAGAGCACTTGCTCTTCCAGAGGACCATAGCTCAGTTCTCAGCATTTAGGTCAGACAGCTCACAATCACCTGCAACTCCAGCTCCAGGGAATCTGATGCCTAGTACTTGGAAGGCAGAGGCAGGTGTGTCTCTGTGAGATCAAGGCCAACATTGTCCAAGTAGCAAATTCCAGGCCAGGTGGAGCTACAGGTAGACCCTGTCTCAAACAAACAAATAAACAAAAAAAAAACAACTAAACAAACACCATCCCCAAATAAAAACAAAACCAAAAACCCCAAGGTAAGAGAGAAGGTTAGTTGTATAAGGGAAAGAACACGTTATCTAGTTACGTGTATGTACAGTTATCTACATGTGGATTGTGGGTACTCCATGAAATGGGAAAGGGGCTGTGGAGGTTCTCTTCTGATTGCATTAATATGACACTGAAGCAGGAAGTGATATCAACAGCTATGAACATGGGGAAATGATATTTGGGACTTTGGAAGAAGAAATTGTCTTTTAGGAATCAGGAAAATAATGTATAGTGTGTTAGGTGGTGGTGTATGCCTGCTCACAGAGTCCTGTCAGTCAGTATGGCTGTGCTTTTAAGTGCTTTACTCAGTATTACAGGAAGGAGGAGAGACAACAAAGCAAAGGATGACACAGATGAGAGGGTTTGCAAGGGTGGATTGGATGTGTGACCATGAAGTTTAAGCAGGGAAAAGAAGGAACGAGGACATCTAGAAATGAGAAACACTCATGTGATAGAACACATTTTATCTAAACATACCATGATGAACTCAGTACTTCGTATGCTAATTGAAAACAAATAATTAAATTTAATTTTATAAAAGAAAGAAATGAGGATAGTGAAAAGAATTGGATTAGAGATTATCTTTGGTGCAGCAGATTGTTGGGTCTAAATTTTAAAGTAATGACCAGGGAAGATACTGTAAGAATGCAAAACATAAAAGTCCTGTGGCACTTAAAGGTGAGAAATGATTGATTACTTCAAAAAGAATTTGCTCAGCGCTCCTTATTTCATTCAGATGAAAGTTCTTGAAGGCCATTTGTATTTTTAAAAAAATCTATCCTTTTCTTTGATGATAGAAAATTAGCCATTAAAAACCATCCTCCGATCTGATAAAATCTGAGCTTTTATTAAATCATTCCATCTTGTTTTCTACTATGTATTAGAATTTCTTGGAAAATAGGTAAAACTTTAAACTAGTAAGCATCTACCTCAGTGGTTTCTAGCATGTTCCTTTCTGAGTCTGTGTGTTCATTTGTTCCCTATCAAGTATAAAAGAAGGAAGAAACAGTTTTTATTAGATTTTTAAAAATCCATTGTATTTCTGCTGTTCATAATGATACCAATCTTTATTGATGCCAGAGCTGCAAAATGATTGGCTTCTACTAAAGTAGAACCTAGAATTTATAGTTTCATGGAGGGTTTTTGTGACAGGAAAATGGTGGATTTTTTTTTATACTTTGGTGTTTTATCTACTGAAATTCTCTTCTATTAAACATCACTTTTTCCTCTATTATTTCCTTCTTCATATAAGCATATGAAAACTAATCTTTCCTTTCAATATTCAAATACACAACTGTATTAGGGTTGAGGGAATTTTTTAGGACTGGGGATGGTTTTGAGGCTGTATTGATTCAGGAAAGCACAAACAATTCATAGGTTTTAGAAATGTTATTAGCAACCATGGTAGGGTATTTCCCTTAGCATTTTAATAGATCACATTTCTTGGTTGTTCTTGAAGTAATCTTTGCTTCAAAATACTCACTGATGTTTGAGAAGAGAAAGATGTTGCATTCAGATAACAAATGAAACAAGCTTACCTGTCTTCACCATTCCCATAAAAGCAATAATAGCTGGCTTGGTTAGTTACCAGTCAGGGAATTCAGGAATTCCTTTCCTGTAAAGATCATAAGACCCAATATTTTAATGCTTTATCATTAGTATGTCATATTAAGCTTATAAAATCAACCTGCTTACCTATGCAATAGATTATGTTGGCTTTCTGTTGCTGTGAAAATGACTTATTTTGGCTTATGGCTTCAGTAATTTTGGTCCATGTTTGTCTGGCTTCATTGTTTATGGGTCTGGGATGAATGAGAACATATTGGTGGAAGGGTGAGCAGAGCTGCTCACCTTATGGGGACCAGGAAACAGAGAGAACCTTGTGATAGCCAAGAAGCAGAAGAAGTGAGATGAAGGGGCTGGAAACAAGATAGAGTGCCCAGAACCCACTCCTCTGAGCTAAGTCCCACGTCCTCCATTTCCTGATAGCCCTCTAAAATATGAAGTCAAAAAGGATTAATCTGCTGATGAAATCAGGGTCCCCATGATCCAGTTGCTTTCTAAATTTGCCACTTTTGCACTTTGCTGCACTGGAAACCAAACTCTAAACAAATGAAACTTTAAGGGACATTTTAGTCTAAACCATAACACCTTAAGTTCTCATATTTCTGAATTGCTGGTTCTTGAAATACAGATACTTTATTTTATGTAAGTCTTATAGATAACTTCTAAAATCCATCTTTTTAATAATCATTTCAAGAAAATGAATGTATATTTATTGTTTTATCTGTATTATTATTTGTCCCCATTGCTTTTATATTTGAGCAACATGTGCACATAACTTAATGAATTGTCATTTGCTCCAAAGCAGTTATTTTTAACCACAGAAGACTAAGAACTGATAAGTATATTTCTGCTCAAAATCTAGGAGCAAACAAACTATGT